ATATATATATAGGTTTTTTATTTCATGTGGGGCCATTGACTTCCACAGTATGTGTTTCTTCAGTAGGCTACGGTCAACTATAGCAACAGCTATTTTATTAGGGGAGAAAATGCAATTTGAGTTCTCCTTCAAATCATACAGCCCTACTTTACAAGCTTCATTTACCCTTGCTGTGCTTAGTGAAGAGAAAACTGGACATTTAGCCCACTTCTTATAAAACACAAGGATACTGTACATGGTCACTCAGCACAAAGCCCCAGCATTATGCTGTTGTTTACTGTAACTGTAAGAGAGCAATGTGTGTCTAATGCACTTCTCAGACAGACTGCGAGTCAAACTCTTGCTGCACATTCACACGAGACTGCTTCACTCCTGATACTGTCCTTTATTTTATTGTGAAGTCTTTTCCAGGTTAATACATCACACAACGCCACATTTGGACCGCAGGACTTAGGGTTTAGTTCACCGTGTAACACTGGCCTTCTGATCAGCACACACTCACTGCTGTTTCTGTGCGAGATAGCTTGCAACATTAAAGTGCTGGTCTCGTGTGATTTATCTGATCGTTTATGTTGCTGGAAGTGTAGGGTAAACTGCATTATGGGATACGAGATCACAGGCAGTGTGCAGACCAGACACAGTATATCCAGAAACAGTGCTATTCTCATCACATACACGATCAAGCGCTCCAGTGAAATCTACTTCTGACACGGGATTATTACATTATTATCACTATAAACGCCGCTTAGGTGCGTCAAATTATGCGTTTGGATCTGCCAATAACAAACCAGCAGTTCAGATGTATGTGTGTGTTCTGGACTCGTGAAAGCGAGTGTAATGTGGTTCATCATGACCTTTATATCCTGGGATTTCTTGTCAAGCATTCTTCTTCAGCGGTCCACGACTGGCAGAGCTCGAGGCCTGATAACCTCCATACTTTTATTTAAGTCCTTTACGAGCCAACTGTCAGATCAAACAGACACCACGACACGCTCAGCCTCCCGAGCTGCTTTACCGCTAACCGAGAGCTCAATAACGACTAACGCTAGACGCTTAACGGCAACAAACTGGGCAGAAGACAGATCGCGACGCCACCGGATCATCGCGTTCTCGGCGGGTCGTAAACGAGCAGAAACAGCGCAGATCTGCTCGGCGTCGCTCTCTCGGAAGGCCTGCTCTGAAGCGCTTTTCTCACCGTGTCAGCGCCGCGGATCTGCGGACAGAACCAGGCCCAATCCCGCGCCGCCGCCGCCGCTGCCTCGCTCTCTTCTGACAGCTCTTCTGCGTTTCCCCCTCGGCTCCCCCTTAGTTTCTCTCTTCCTTTCTCTCTTCCAACAGATAAGAATCAAAATAGTGTCACACAATATGGCGGCCGTACAAGTGAGCGCCTCTCGCGAGACTTTTCGGGCGTCGAGAGAAGATAGCTCATGAATATTAATTAGGTCGTGCTCAAGCTGCTACGTGACCTTATGGACTACTTGCACAACTACTTCCGCGTTCTACTGATTACGGCTCGGGAGTTTCCGGTTAGCGTTCAGACAGTTTCTCATTAGAACGCAGATTATTACTACATTTTAGGGCTGGCATTTCTTTAAAAAACGATTAATCATATTCTCTGTGTTAACATGAATTATCTCCAACCTGCTGAAATGTTCCTATAAATATATTTCCCTTCCAAAAGTGCTTTCTGAATAATAAATACATATATTTCCCCACTAACCTGCCGCTTGTCTTCTCATGAACAGTGTTTTCCTTTTACTGATCATATTTCATACAGATACTTCTGATCTTATTCATCAGATCTCACAAACCCTGCAGCGTCACGTATGATTACCAGCCACGCTTTCTCAGATCGGTTTGTGTTACGCTCCGTTGAGTTTGGAACATTCTGTACACAGTAATCATCAGAATATGTCTTCTCTGTCTCTGAAAATATCCGGCTTTTGAAATCATCCCGCAATCTCTCATTTTATTAGGCGTTTAAGTCAACTGCATGATTACAGCACACTGACAATATACAGAACCGGAAATAACTGAGCCGTAATATTTCAAAACGGAAGTGCGTCACGAGGCTCAGTGCAAGTAGTCCATTAGAACGCCCACACAGAAGCTTACTATTAGGAGGATTCTAAGGGCCCACGCACTTTTGGGGCCCCCAGAGATCTGTTTTATTAGTAGTAACAGTAGTAGTAGTAATGTAATAGAAATTATAAATGTATCTACCAAAGAGTTACAAATAAAACAAAATTACGGCTTATTTCTGCATTTCCGGCAATATTATCTCCCCCCATTCACTGCATAGTTTCGTCCCGTCCTAAGTAGCCTAGAGTCACTGAGAGAGATCAGATGGTAAACTGTCAAATTAGAGATGTCTTCGAGTTCGAGGGGAGCAAACCGAGCCGGACGATTTGATCAGTCGCACTTTTAAACACATTTTAGTTTTGC